TCCTAGAAAATAATAACCGTTTTAGTGAGTGTTCCAAGAAAACGTCTCCCCGGAAGACACATTCCGTTTTGATCTTACCGCCCACGCGCTCGGGCACGGCGATTTTTGTTCCTCGGCATGCCTCGAAGAAACAAAGGGGCGATCGACCGAACTAATAAGATCCCGTTCTCGGACCCCGTGCAGGTATGTGACGTAATCGCGACGTTTTTAAAAAGTCACGAATGGACGTTTGCGAGTTCGGCGCACGCGGTGAATGCCGTCACGGGTCGTAACGTGGCGTGACCGCAGCGTGTATAATATCGCGTGTAGCTGGCCGCATTGTATGTTTACGAGTCGGCCGGAGGGCCGAAAGAGCCAGCCATGGGCACGTCTCGGCGAAAGGTGTCGGGCAACACGTGTCCGTATCGACGAGGATGTATCGACGACAGCCCGAGGCCTTCGGTCGTCGGCGTGTGGTCGCCTTTGCAACCACCTCGCAAACGTTCCGCGGAAATTTTATCTTTATTTTTAAATCATCCATGGTGGGAGTTTTCTCTTTTTTTTTGTACAAACCGCGTTCCACGGAAAATACGTCGATTAAATGCACGACGTTCTACAAACTGTTACGAAATAGTATTTAACTTGAACGCGCGTGACGTTCCTAAATTAAAGAAATAAGTATTGCGAGGTCATTTAGTAATTCACTAGTTGCTAAACCTTTTGCAACAAGCTCAAAATAGTTCTTGATTAAGTAGCATGTGAGCATACACCTCAATAAAGCGGCTGAATTATAGGAACTGTAAAGTACATACTGTTACCATAAATACCACTTTTGCGCGCATGTGTTTGTGAGCAGATAATTGGTCACATACATCACTTGGCATTAAACCTGAAGAATCTGTCTAATGTGTTGCATAAATAGATACCAATTAATTACCGAGATGTAATAACGACAACAACGCGATCAGACTAATTATAATATACCATCAACTTGTTATTTTATGGTTTTCTTAATGGCTATATAATTGCCGAGCTGGCTGCCTAGAGTGTCTAAACGCTACAGGGAAAATACTGTTTCAATTCATATACCTAATATAATTAGTGCAATAAGGATCAGACAACTGGAGAAATTCTAGTGTACTACCAAAGTATTGATAAATCACAACCGAATATTGTTATAAATATTGTGCCATTTCCATTCAATTCTTTTTTATAACTCAGTTATTCTTATGATAATTATTAAGATAAGAAGGAACTGATGTTTCTCATTACTCATTTAAATTATGAAATTATAAGGAATTCCAATTGTTCAAAAAGCATTTCATCGATACTTCAGCAAATTTTCTAATGGATGTTGTTTGATGATACGAGAGTATTCTGTAGGTACTATCATCATAACCAGCGGTGTTTAAATTCCCTATAAACCTTCGGTTTAAGATGGATTATTCTCTCACACCCTTATCTTCAATGGTCACGGGTTACGAGAGGACCATCAAAGTATGGACGCATTATATTTTATCATCGGTATTACATTGTATATTTTAGATTTCTATTTTAAAGAAGGCCCTTCAAGTATCATTATTTAAAATGCGTCATACTTATTTTGCTCGCTATTTATCGCCTGAAAATTTTATCCACTTTAATACAAGAGATATTGAATTCAGATTATAAATGGATTATTTTGATGTAAATATTATAAGAACGTGTGTGCGTGCGTTATGGTCGATCCAAAGCGGCTAGAGTGTCAGTTATAGGGTATACGAGTTAAACGCAAAACCGGATACGAATAACTTCGCTAGGTGCGTGGCTACCGGCTTTATAGCCAATTCATTTTATACGTTATTTCCCATGAAATGGTCGTTACGCGCAAGCATATCAATGCAACCTATATCTTACACGGAAAATCCTAGCAGCCTCGCTTTCGCGCACTTTTTCTGCAGACGTATAATTATACCGTGCACATAATCGCCTAAAGAAGAAAAACAATACTTTCATTCAACATTAATTACAGTATTTTGTCGACCTTTACTAAAATCCCATGATTTTCCAGAATGGAACGATAACTGAAGAGTCGAAGACCCTTCTCTTATATGACTCGTTCTAAAGTCGCTTTGATAAAAAAAAAAAATAAAAAATATCTTCGAATCGGCTTAGATGGCACAATGGATCAGCCGGTGAACAGTAGCGGAGATCTATTGAATACGATTCCTGATTCCTTTCAACGTGCATTGAAACTTTCGTCCCGGGGAAACGCAGACGTGCTCCCGGTTTCCTCCAGAGCCAACGCAGATATGGTAGTGTCGGTCGCCAATGACGACGCGGATCGGTGGATTCTGAGGCAGTGGCATCATCAGAATGAAGAACGACTCGGAGGTGTCCACCTAACGTTACTAATGATCTGGTGGGTCCCGTAGAATACATATGGAGCGGCCAGTCTGAATTAAAATCGCTCCGGCTATAGCGCGACGGCAACCTACCCTTCTCTTCTCCTATGATTAATGGAGAGTTCACACTCAGAATGCACACACAGGATAATTAAGGGGATATATTCTGGCCACCGAGTCCGTGTGTAGTTTGAAGAATGTAACGGGTGACGACCTCGTCAGCGGAGACCTCCGTTCATTGATGGCTTTTACTTCGGTCTTAACCACAATTTCTAACGATTAACATTTCTGAAAATCGACCCGAAATAGATTCCGTCCCAGAATTACTGCGAAATTGTAAATATATGTATGGCGATCGATTTAGAATTTTCTTTTCGTAGATCATCCCTTTACTTTTCACGTGGTGATAAAGTCATGATGGGCAACCAACCGGAACGTCGCGGGAAGACACCTTATATACGGTATTTGGACGGCAGGCCTTAAGATCTGCTGCATCACCGTGCGGCGAGGAAGGAAGAAGGGTGCCCGTAATCATTAATTCAAGGCTTAGGTGTAAACAAACGATAATTTGATAACGTCCAGATACGCAGGGGCGTCTCCAGCAGCTACCGCGAGCGAGCGAGCGAACGCGGAAAGGGCGGACGGAATCTTCTCTTGATCCGTCCACGCACGATGCGTGTTCGAGGCGTTACTGGGGTTTCGACCTGCAACTACAAGTGCAGCATTTGCTCGTTAATTATGTATACGACTCGCGAGGATTACGGTCGATTAATTTTCGTTGATGTCCATCCTCTAATAGTTGCGCGAGTTCTTTGCAAATCGTATCTATGTCGTCATGTTATGCCCACGAAATGCTGCCATTTCAGTAATCAGGTTTAATTTTTTTATTCAGCTTGATGATAAATAATGTGAAGCAAAAAGTGGAATTTACAGATTTATTACAGAGATTGTATTGTTATTAAAAATTAACAGATTCCTCTATCACTTGAGACCGGTTACAGTTAAGGATAAAGAATATCTTGAAACGCGTAAAACTTGAAAAATAATAATCAGAGTCGAGCGTGGATTCAATACCGGCAGCGATTTCGCAGCTGTAGGTCTCCGACGTGCAGGACATTAATTGTGAGATAGGCTGACTATAGCAAACGCGGCGCGAATTTATAACCCAACTTAATCTGTGACAAATTGGTCAGAAAAAGTAAATGTCATCTATTCGGTCGGAAGCGTTCGGCTCGGGCGCGAGACATCATTGAACCTACCAACTTCACAGTACTGGAAGCGTAAGAGATGCTGACCCGAGGGGGTGATACAAGCTACCGTAACGGCGAGGGGGGAGGAGGAGATCAGGATGGCGATGCTGCCGGGTTAGTGGTGGTGTGTATGGGAGCGAGAAGAGCGCCATTCTTTTGTAAGAAGCTCACATAAATTGCGACACCCAAGAGTTAAAAGCAGTCTTAAATTACGTGCCGTCGACTCCTTGATGAATTGAGTGCTCCCACCTACCCACCTCCACTTCCTCCTCATTCACCTCCATTCTGACCCCCACCCCCTCCCCTACTTTCTTTCTTGGCCGCTCCTAGCTTTCCTCGCCTAGTAGTCCGGCGATATTATACATTGTTTTTACGTTCCCTTTTATACCTTGGTCCAGCGTTCGCAACTCTAGCTCGCCAGGTAACTAGAGCAACTGGTCGTAATGAACAGCTCTTTTATACTTTTCAAGACTAGCAGTTTGTATACAGCGCGGAAGGGTATATACTCTTCGTTAGCGTACACCAAGTGCTTGGTCACTTTCCCTCAAGATGGGCCTGTTTCGTGTCGGCGGAAATTTAATAAGCGATGGAAGGGTATAGAACGAGAGAACGGATATTGGAACGGGAATCCCGTATCACTCGATCTGATACGGAATTGGAAGGAACTTTCTGGCAACGATTAAATGTGACCTGCATATCTAATGCAGAAATCAATTGATCTAATCTCTGGATACATATAAGAATATATCCGACAGCGTCAAAAAGTTAATTACGAACATTGTCAGTGTCTTTCTGCGTGCAATATATTGTACACGTCGCTCTTCATATCTGAGAAATTCTTCCGCGACGAGGACTCTTCGTTCGAATCCCGATTGAACTAGTTTTCGGAGTTCCCGGCGCGGCGAGCGTCGTGTTCGTGGCTCCGAATCCCGTGGAATCGCAGAACGCGTATAAATTAACCCGAAATTCGCGTAAACAAGTTGTATCGCGGGCTGAATCGTGGCCACCAATCACCGCAGCTTCTCTTGTCCCGCCGACAAGCTCCTTCAGCGTTACCTCGCTCCATCCCCCTTCGCGCCCGGTCTTCGTGCCGCGCCGCGTCGCCGCTCGTTCCCTGCCACGGCCTTGCCTCCTTTTGTTTTTTAATATCGCCGTGTATTTTATATTTCTGAAATCCTATCTGATCCTCGTCGACTGATTTATATGCACGATGATACACGCGTGCCGGCATTACCAACGAGGGGGCCCCGAGAGCAGCCATCATATCTGGGGGAATCATCGGGCAGCGCAAACAGAAAATAACTGGGTTACCTTTAGTTTTATTTGGCGCTGGTTACGTCGGTTTTTGAGAGAACCACGTGAAAAAAGGGCGGGAGGGCGGGGAGGTAGCAGATCGGTCCGGCACGAAGAAGGGGTTGGCGAGGAGGGAGGGAGAAGTGCTCGGCGGAAGGAAAGGAAAGACACGGAGAGTGGTGGACGGGGGCCGCAGGCATATACGTTATTGTTCTTGGAATGATTCCAAATAAAGATTTCACCGGCACAGTGTGTAGAAACCTGAATAATAAAATTCCGACGATGGGCCAGCGTAGCGCTAACCTCCATTTAGCTCTGCTGCCGGTTGCTGTGCACGGGTGTAAAGGCTGCCTCCTTGTAACAAATTGTCCTGCTTGGTTTTATCACTTAGTTGGGTTCCGTCGCGCCGCGCCGTCTTTGAGATATCAGAAAGCGAAACGATCCACCGAGTGTTGATGGAATTAGCTTCGCTGGCCGGAGCTTTCTGACATCGTCCCATCCGCCGCACTGTATCATTCACAAAAATTATTCTTTCATACACTTCATGTATAATCACATAAATATGAAATATTCAACTTTAAGTACGACTAGCTTAATTTTACCCTTAAGCTAAACAGGTGAAAGTAAAAGTAAAGTACATTTGTCACTTTGTGAATTTGCATACCAAATAATCCATTCACAGTGGAAGGTATAAATGTTTTTCATTTGCATTTTATCCAAAGTTACTACTGAACGAAGTAGGATCAGGTTCTACTTTTGATGAATTGATTAGATGAATCGTCGAGGATGTACATTCGAATTAAGAAGTATAAATTCGTGTTCTTTTTGAAATTTCTTTGCTTCTTTATGTGATATTCAATTTTCCTTTCAAAAATGTTACTTGAGCCATATTTCAGTTTATTACAATGTAGAGAAAATTAGTTGTTTAGTCATTCGCATTTCGTTTGAGATCTGGTATCATAAATTTGTTCTCGTTATCCTGTTTACAATGTACAACCGTGAGGTAACGATGAAGACATGGGTCACTGTAAAAGGAAAAGAGATGAAGGAACGGCGAATTAAAATGAAAAAGTGTTTTAAAACGAGCTCTTCCGAGATCTTCAAGAGTCTGATTTCATTACGGTAGGACTACCATCAACAAATTTTAATTATTCGAGCACTTATGTAATATAATTCCTCACATTACGAATAAATTATAAGTAGAACAATATGTTTCATATGTCGAACGTTATAATAAATTATAGTTTACTAAGGATTTTTAGTGTATTCAATTTTGTACGTATTCAAGCAGCGACTAACAATCGTTTAAAGCGAAAGAAAAGTAAAGGAGTGAATGCGAACGGAACGAAAGAAGGCTGGAAAGAATATCGTGAGCAGGAAACAAAAGAAAGAACGGAACGCGGGGCGTTGTTGGTTGTTGGTTACCGGGAATGGTACCAGGGTACAAAGATCAGACTCGAACGGGGCACGTGATGTATGTCCCCGTCTTGTCGCCCAGATCCGCATCAAGTTTATATCATGGTAATCAAATCGCCTGGCATAAATTTCGTTTATGCACAGTTATGCGCCCATGAACCGGCTGCAGCCAAAATTGGCCGAATCGAAAGAAGTGCGAATTTCGTGACGATAAAGATCGACCCGCGCCGTATAATTCGTAAGAAAATTAATAACAGAACGTACGAAATCGTAATTCGAAATGTACAGCCCCGTCTCTTGTTTCACGACCATCGTAAAGCTTCTAATTAATTATTTTTCACGATTAAGACGCGATAAACGACGTCTCGATAAGGCAGAATTGAAGAAAGATAATGACAGGAATTTATGCATATCTTCATTCAAATACTAATTTAAGTCTTATCTAAAAATATTACTTCGTATACTCATTCCCTATGCAATATCAAGCCATTCAATTAATTAAGCTTAAGTGATCAAAATGCACATACTGCAGTTCATTGTCAGAGCCATAAAATATACTAAGTTGCAAGCATTACATAAATATTAATAATGCAGAGGTCGATGCAATTAAATTCATGAATCTTCGATATAGCGGGGCCAGGACAATTAACACTCACCAATTCACCTGCGGTCGTGTGTGTCCCTGTGTATCGCGTTCACGATGATTCCACAGTCGAAGGGGGCCTAAATCACTAGCGTCGCTTGACTCACTCAGCTTCGTCACACCCAGGCGGCACCCAAAAATAATAGCGGACCGGGGCCGGAAGTCCCTCACCTTGCTGGACCAGTTCATTCCGAACGAATCGACGGTTTCGACGCTGCGCCATACCATGCCGTTCGGTTGACTGTGCTCCGTCGTACGCGTCCCATTCGATTTCGTATACGAAACCCTTGCACTAATGATGCCTACACGAGACAAAAAAAAGTCACGACTCGTACGTGGGCGATGAAATCTTCAAATTCGCTTCCTCGGAAGGAATGCCAGCATAAAGACGAAGGGGCGGGTTGGTCAATATTTATAACCTTTATCAATGTTTGGAATAATAAAAAGAAACTGTTCCGATGCTATAGTTCGTAGAAGTGAATTAACTTTTCGAGCGCTAACAATTTATGGAGCCATTTATTGTTACTGAAATCACTTCATTAAACAAATAGATTTAGATTTCTTATGTTCTGCAAGTGTTTATTATACGTATTTTCCTAATACGCTAAGATGTCTATCACTTATAAAATGAACAAAAGTATATCCTAAACATATCCTGATGCTTAACACTAGATTGCCCNCAGTCATTTTGACTGCTTTTGGGCAATATATGTAGGTATATACTAAGTTTCAGTCTTTCTAGTGTTAAAGATGGAAGTTTTGATTATTAAATTGGTCAAATGCTTTAGCGATTGATCACTGTCAATTCTGATATGTGAAGAATTGTTTAGATAAAACGCGTGACGCTTCTAATCGTTAACAAAGTCAATGGATGGCCTTGGAAGGCTGTAAAAGTTGTGTACAGGGTATTCGCGAAGGGGCAACGATTATAGGATTCCCCTTGGTCAGGCAGCATTCGATGCTCGATGCTGTAGGTACAGAGGACTATAAATCATAATTAGGCTGTAAGCGGTAGCCGCGACGTGGCTGCAGTCCCATTAGTAGCAACAATGCAGCCAAGCAGCTTAAGACGTTGTTGTTACCAGAAGAAGAGTAAGTCAGTCGCCTATTCAGAGGAGATCGTATCGAGACTATAGAATGAGATATTTGCAAAGGGAACATAATGAATGCGAATCACAATAGGTTATTTTAAAGATACTCCTACAGGAGGTAATTAGGAGAACGCCTGATGTATTGAAATGTAAAAATTGCTAATAATTGTATGTTGTATATAGTTGTCGTGTAAAGAACTAATTGTGTTGAAAGTACATCTTGTTGATTAAGTTTTGCAAGAATGCAGAATATTAGGGGTATAATTAATTTTTAATTGATGTATGAATTATATCAACCCTTGAATCTTTACCATGGTTCTAAAAACACAGCTGTAGAATTGTATTAGCAGATATTATACATTCATAACTTTCAAAGCAAATGCTGTATAAACAAAAATATATAGCGCATGATTAGCCTGACTGTAATTTAATTATTATCACGTTAAAAATGAGTAGCAGATAGCCGTTTAGTACTGTAGCTGCATTCAACACCTACGCATAACAAAAGACGTCGGTGTACGCTAGGCGTATGTGTCTTGAAGACTGAATGAACAAAATCGTGACGAGGCAAATAGTGACTTTTATCTTGGCTACTCGTTTCTACATATGCTTTGAGAAGAGGCAGGAAGAAAGCAAGATGCGTTGTTATCGATTATTGTGTTAGTCGTTAGGAAAATAGATGTTATAGTTTTTTCTCTCGTAGAGATATTCATATAAGAATGTTTTCATTACTCAATCGAATTATACAGTCTACTGTTTCACGTAAGGTTCAATTTAACCGAAGAAAATCGTTGAGTTCGATGGAAAAACTTATGGTATTATACAGTACTTACCAGTTGCGGTCAGACAGTTAAAAGATGACCACTTACGACTAGTCAGTAATTTTAAATGTTAAGATTTGTGGACCACCAAAGGTGAACCGACAGTTGAATGGAATCTTTTGTGAACACTTAAGTCGTTGATCGAAGCACACCCAGTCGGTGTTATAAAAACTGAAGATTCATCTTCGTCTACTCGAGTAGACTATTGACGTCTCACGATACACTTCTAAAATTTAAAATTCTTAACCGGTCATCCTGTTCAGAAAATCTCTACAAGAAATACTTGTCAGTTTCCAAAGTGTAAGATATCGATTCTAATCATGGGTATAATTTATTGAAACTTTACATCTTACAATTAGTAAAAACTTAGCAAATTATTGATTAAGTAAAGTAACAAAAGAAATATGTAAATACTGCTAATTTAGTCCCTACTTTCCTTATTAGAATTGTCAATACAGAACATTTTCAGGGGTGATAAAACGACTACCGTTCATAGCCTCGTATCAATTTCCCAAGGTGCTGTAAGTTCGCACTTTCCAACGATAGAAAGCTGGCAGCGGTCTTGCCAAGCGTTCGATGCCAACCGTTTCTTCATCAAATGACGAATGAACAGAAGTCATGACGAATTATTGTACGCGGTACATAATGCATCAAGCTGCCAGCATTCGCTGCGGCGCGGCGGCGGGGAATAACGAAGAACCATGAAGAGCGAGTGTCTTAAATTTCATACCAACACCTACTTGCTGAACTGTTCACCAACGACATCCCGCTATCGTGTACGTTCGCTCGATGTACATATCTGATCGTTGAATGAACGTGGAGTCAATGATTCCAATCTCCTGTCAATGGCGACCAACCTTCGGCCGACGAACCATTTACCAGTCAGCGGGACGCGAATGGTAGTTAATCATGTTTCGAATAAGCGCACGGGAGCGTTCGAAGCAAAAGCCGGACGATTTGTTAGCCGCCTGGATTCGAGATACGGCCGGGCCGCTGGACTCCAATCCATTTCGTCTTACAACTTTTGGAAAATATTTTTTATACACTACCCTAAAATATATGTTTAAAGATAAAATAAAACAAATAATATTTTGAAACATTTATTTCTCATGTTCATAGATAGTCTAATTAGAGGAGCGAAAGAGTTGAGACAATTACTTGTACATGTCTAAATATAATAATACATTGACATTGTACAAGACATTTTTCATAGTATCTCTGAAAATGACTATAATGGGAAGAAAATTATAGGATAAACGTTCAGAGCTCACCCGAAGGTCTCCCATCGGAATGCTTTGAGATCGAAGACAGGCCGATTACGTGTGCTCTTCAGGAAAACTGTTGAACGATTCAATGGATCACGGAGAGGAGGCGTCGCTGACAAATTTTTCGGATATCGTCGATTTATCAACCGACCACGATTCCTGAGCCCGAGGTGTCAAGACAGGGTTGACACCGTTGGCGGAAAGGGCTCACGTTTCAACGGCAACGACGTCGGGGTAGACGTCGACGACCATTAGTCGCCAGACGATATACCTCTGATGTATTCCGATGTTGACGGAAAACCTGTAAAACGGCCTCACGCCGGCTTACCGAAGATCTATTAGCGACCGTTATAAATGGTCCGACGTCTCCGTCGATGTCACCGGTGTCGCTGAAAGGAAATTGACTACTCATCCTCCCATGTACCTGCGACTCCCACGTTTCTCGCCTACTCGATGCGCAGGATTTCACCGGAAATCAAAAACGGTATAGTGAGTCGAATTACCATATAGCACCTGACAACTGCGTTCGCGCTACTGCTCGGATAGACTGTGGTAATCCATTACATGTTGACCCATGGTTAACTTTTTATAACGCCAATAATTTAGCTTTCTTTTCTTGTATTTGTTGATAAGCATACAAAATATGCACAAATATAAATTCTACGATCCTATTAGAAAGCGCATTCACCGAGGCATTCCTTATTCCTTATTCAGTTCCAGTTCAATACAGGCATAAAAAGCTTTTGCAATTATTAAGGGAATAAAACGAGACATCCTTGACCCGAAACAGTTGAGGATAAAGAAAGGCTTATGACGAGATCGTGCGGGGAGGCTTTTAAGATTCCAGTAGCCGGTGGCGAGCCAATAACGCTGGCGTTAAAATATGGTAATCGAGCCACGGGATCGGCATATCGACGACTTGACAAACGATGCGACGCCCGAAGCATCAGACCACCAACAGATCTCGCGCGCGTGTGCGCGCTCTCTTGCGCGCCGTTGCGCTCACCTCTGCGCTTCTTTTCACTTCTGCACGCTGCGCTCTACCTCTATCTCTTTTCCTCTCTCCCTCGGACCTGGCTCTTGCTCGACCGGGCCGCAATCATTTGTTATATACGTGACTCGAAGCTGACTGCTATTCTGGCATTCTGCCATTCCTACGTCCTGACTGGCCCAGTCCTGACACCTGGTCGCATGAACCGCGATCAGCATGATCCTCGTACAAGAATTTCCTAACGCGACGAGTGTGATTACTTTCGACAGACGTATTTTCGCTGGACGTCTAAGTTAGCTATCTCACCGATTGCACTATTTGAAATGATACATTACACTTGGAATAGTATTACAGTTCTCGAGTTTGCATAGATATGATATGAAAGTCTACGACACATACTTTACTATTTGTATTTCAGAACAAATTATGAAAAATATAGATAAAGTATATTACTCTCAGGTATTTTAAAGAAAGCTCCTACAAGAATTACATTTTTATTTCTAGTTTCAATAATAATTAGTATCTGAATGTGATATTAGTTTATACAGGGGAACCTAGGAATAAGTGTAGAACATCGATTCCGGCCGTTTCGTTTCGCGTGCTCTGTCAAGATTGATCCAAGGGATTGTCTGAAGGACTCTCCACAAATCCCCGAAGCCTTTGCCAACTGACCGCATCAATCCCATTACAAGACGCGCCTAACTGTACAATCGGTCGATCGCTTTTGAGTAGACAGGCTTTGAGAATTCGACTGCCTCTCGTCTGTTCAAGCTGACGAGAAAAACAACAACTAAACTATTGTGTAACGTTAGCTTCAATTAATGTTGCACACTGGAATCAAGTACCTATCATTAAATAAAAAATGTTGAAACTTCTGGATCAGTTGATGTGTTTACTTCATCAGTTCACTATCACAGAAGTAATCAGGTGGTACGATTTTATAAGAATGAGGCATCAAGTGAATAAGAAAACAACTGAATATTTGGATATGAAATGTATACGTTTACGAAGGATTTTAGCCAATGGGTGATCGCTGTCAACCGGCTAAATAATATTCTTATACGACGGTCAAACATTAAAATACAGGAACGGATGTACTAGGGTAAAGTACAAGACACGCGGATTCGTATCGCTGAATTATACGCACTTGCATTTAGCAGCGCACCAATAATAGACAGCCACGCTGGCTGCGCGCAGCGTCGCATTGCTTTGGGATCGAGACTCGTTGCTACTACTTTCGTCCAACCATTTTACGATGTTGTATATCCGAAAATGCTTCATTACTGTTTACACGACAACATAACAAACATTCAGGGCGAGGTTCGGCATCAACTAACGCGATTTTATTACATGTTGTTCTGTAGATTAGTAAAGTAACAGTCGTGGTTCTTCGCGGTGCACGTGGTTCAACTGTGTCGCGAGCGTGACGCGTGCTCCTCGGTGGATCCTACGCAACGGACGGAAAATTCTCGGGATTGCGGTTAGAAGACGGTTCACGCCGTTTTAAGTGTAGTCCGGTGATCGCCGAGTACATTCACTCGGCAGTAAATCCTGAAGAGAAACATTCGTTGAGACATGTCTGGAAATTCGATAATTCGAGTCACCGCGCCAGTTAATGCGTGTACTTCGGTCGAGTCCGAGCTTCGTTGAGTTCGTATTCGTGCTCCGCGAGCTGTTTCGTTAGTATCCATGATTTACGGGATACTTCCGATGATGGCGTTAAGCGCAACGTTAACCGTTATATTTTAGAGTTATTCCCGTTTTATCACTAAATCAATTGCCATGTATTTATAATGGGAGCGCGTACTATTAAAGACAACGAGACAGAGATCTATCTGAAGAGTTCCGATACATCCCACGCTTATGAAATAAACTTGTACTTTATGTATATTTAGTTAACACTGATTAAAGTCGGAGAACTACGGATATTTATTATTTATACTTCTTTTGATGTTAAATGCAGATATTCTAAATAATGAGAATAATAAAAGCAATCGACATTTTATTCTCAAGTGGGCGTAAACGAGTAACCTGTGCCAAGAACACCTCAGGACTCAGAAAAGGGAAGCGAGAGGGTGGCCAAGCGGTAGACAAGATTTCGAGCCGTGAAGGTCTCCGTAATGACGGAGCATAAATAACTCGGACGTTTACGCGCGCATTGATTTAAGCAAACTAATAATTTCACTTTGACCGAACGGGCAATAGAGGTTCGCAAAGGACTGTAGCCTCGGCCAGTCTCCGGCTGTCATATTGACGTTTATATCCGACTGCATAATTTACATGTCTATAGATGACAATGATTACGTGCCGGGCTTCGCACGTTATTAGTTACTATCTTGCCGAATCGATCACGCGTCGAAATTATTGGCTTCTCAGCTACAAAGCATTTTGTTGGCCAACTTTTATTAATCGTCGGTTTGGAGTCGTCTAATTCGAGGTTGTCGTTGATAAAGAATGACTTGAAATCGTGTCCAAGTGATCCAGACTATTCAACGGAATAGTATAAATAAAAGTTACTTAAAATCGTTCCGGTCGTTTCTTCAGATATTTTTAAGCAGCTGATCTCCATTGTTTGCCGTACTGTTGTTGCAATTAACTCGGCTCGGTTTTGGCCAACTTAAAGTGCAAGGTCCGAGCGAAAGCGGTGACAAAGATTAATGCAATACGGCATAGCTCGCGGTTTGCCCAGTTGCGTTGTGCGTGCACGCAAATACACCACAGACGGCGAGCCGTAGATTATGAGCAGGGGTGTTGAGACTGAAAGAAAATATATTAACCTGTTAGGGGATAAAGTGTCACCAAAATTCATCCAATACGTCCTTTTTGAGTGAACAGTCGAGCATTAAAGTGCATTAATTTTGTTTACGCGTTGAATCCCTTTAAGAAATGTAAATTCTTCTAACTTGTTTCAATTGACTGTAAACATTCAATTATTATTTCATCTACAAGAAATATATATACGTAAGAAAGTTAAAAACTTAGGACTTTATTCTTCTTACTCGAATTAATGATTAAACCAATTCAGATTACTAAGAAGTGAGTAGCAACACGATTGCGACTGTTAAAGAGTGTCACACATTTATATGTAATTTAACTGGACATTTTGCTTCGGCGTTTTCATCCCAGCCGCAGTCAAGATTCGAATCGGTCGAATGTCAGCATTTTCGCGATTTTCTAACTCGACGACGCGACGCGGAAATCCGCGACGCTGGAGGGTGATTCTCCATGCATTCAGTCCGTTTTACTGCGCGACCCGATAAGTCTGAAGGGGCTGAGCTCGAGGAGATGACATTGACGGGCTAAGCGCGGGACTTAAAGCCCGGGGCTTAACTCATCCGTCAGTACACTATACACATACTTGGCCACTGTTTGTCTAAGTTGATGTTCTCACTGTTCTAGACAGTACTGAATGCTAGAATTCATTCGATTCTCGTTTTAGCTTGTACCATCGTCTGAAAGTTTTCAATTTCGAGTCGAGCGGCCGTTGCATTTGATAGTAAATATAAATCATGTGCATGCGAAAGAAACAGGACTGAATATTTTCATTTATATTGTAAAATAAAAATAAGAGCGAGATAACCGTAAGAACAAATAATAGTTTATATTAAAATTTATTCAGAATAAAAGTAGGAAACAATAGAGTGCAAAGATTTTTGCGCCAGAATCCTAAATATATTTTCATTGGGGGAACGATACCACGCAGTCTCGCCGAGTTTCCGATCGGTCGACCCAGTTGCATAACAACACTCTGCTTGTCCATACGCTTTTAATGGCAGAGTGTAATCTTATCGAAACTGCTTCGTGATATGAATAATCTATACTTCGGAAGTGTGGGTTGTTAAATGTACCGCACACGTCGGTACAGGTGCGTCATCGCGGCTTCCTCTCTCGTGTGATACACGCGAGAAAGTGGAAATAGGTTGCTGCGATAATCTTACCGTTAACACAGGTGATGAAACATGGGAATAGCGAGAATTTGGAAATACTTATTAAGATATCTTACTAGGTATTTAGAAGTGTTAACCGAGTCTTTGAATTAAAAAAAAAGAATAATCAATAAAAAGATTGTGGTCATATGTTTAGCTGAATGCATGCTAATGCTTTGTAACTACCGCAATCAAGTGATTCCCGTCGAAATGATTAATTATTACCTATAGCGCTAAACCGTTGCAGGAACGCAGACGTAGGGGTGGCTCGACGAGAGTGCACTACCTTCCCGCGGCACGAAGGACACGTACCGGTGTTACCACGGCACGCTAATAGCTTCGTAATAATTCTGATTTATGCGCCGGTAAGCAGGCGCGGCGCGTAGCGACGCGGCCGACGTCGTCGGCGGCGGGGGCGACTTCGTTTACACGTTCTTGGCTTTCGCGCCCGAAATATCTCCTCGCCCGCCTTACTACGAGTCGTCGACGTCTGCGCTATGTTGTACGCACGAGGAGAGAAGAGACGCTCTTCGCTTCGCGTCTGCGAGCTTTGTCTGGCTGGTCGGGGATGAAAACGCGAACGGATCTTTCTTACTGCATGTATGCATGTATATGCGGCTAAAATCGTCAAACTTAGTCGTGTGGATCGCGCCTCGTTTCATCTTCGGACGGAATCGACTGACACGAGCGTATACCTTTCCATTTTTATGTTCGTATTTTTGTCGAACTCGAGGAAGTTCAGTCACTCCTGTGAAACATTTCCCATGGTATGTCGGCGAGAAATAAATACCGACTCAACTTCCAAACGATTTATCGATTCTACATTATTCGATCCGTCATGTAAATACAGCTATTCTTATTGGTACGCATACTTTATACATACAATCGACACAGTATCCTTCGGATATTTGCATGAAATGATTACATAGTGAGCATCGGTGGCCGAAAATCAGTGAGCCGAGGTAGTGGAGTGTGTTTACCCAATCGCGTTCAATTAATCGCCAGCGAAGCGATTCGATCTCCGTGGAATTATTCAATTTCTATCGGGGCTGAGGAGTCCATTTTCGCGGGCCGCGGTGAACAGAACCGAACGTTGGCACGCGATCACTTTCCTCCAAGCATGAATTACTCATGGAGCGGATGCTCAATCACACTGGAACACGCTAACGACATGCAAGATGACGTTCGCCGTGCGTGACTTCCAGCATTCATTCCACGCGGCGTCGTTACACGTGGAAACGGTTGTCTCTATGCATTAATAGATTTTCCAATGATACAACGCGATTGTTTGTTCGCTAGAATTTTACCACATAGTTCACGAGTATTCACGTGCATTCCGCAACGATGGCCAAAACTGAATTCTTATTAAAAAATTCCATTCAGATTTGAATAATTCGCTGAAATTAGAGGTTGAAACGAAATGTGGATCCAAATTCTAGCAATTGGCAGATGTCTCTTTTGAGACTCATTAAAGATCGCGATGGATGTACTGCGTTTTCCTAGATGTTAGGGACGCCTCCATGGTAGTTAGTCATCGGCTGGCAATTTATCATTAGTCATGAGATTCTGTCGGTTTAAGCCTTGCTCACTATACGATACTCTATCCGCGTGATTCTGTAGTCATATTGCCGATTACATATAATTACAAATAGATTAATTAATTATAAGCCACTATAGAACTCTCTATAAATAGGTACATATGTTTACCCCAGAAATACATTGTGCAATATTATAAATATAATTCTGTATGAAATATTCATTATTGCTGAACTTCGAAATAACTACCATTTTTCTATCGTCCTTCGTTTGATCATCGAGTCGAGGAATGCGTTCACCAAAGAAATGCCTCCGATAGCAGCAGCATGCGGTGACACGTCGAAACTTACGAAGAAGCGTCGAGTTTAAACAGTTTCAAAGCGCTGAACTCTGAAGTATTCATAATATACGCTTGTGGAACAATGTCGGGGAGAAGAGCGGTCGCGTCGGTCGGAATTACTTTAAAATAGATGGAAAATAAAAGATTGCAGATAGGTGGTGGAACGGAATCGGAGGTGGGCCAGCATAACATACAATCGACACAGTATCCTTCGGATATTTGCATGAAATGATTACATAGTGAGCATCGGTGGCCGAAAATCAGTGAGCCGAGGTAGTGGAGTGTGTTTACCCAATCGCGTTCAATTAATCGCCAGCGAAGCGATTCGATCTCCGTGGAATTATTCAATTTCTATCGGGGCTGAGGAGTCCATTTTCGCGGGCCGCGGTGAACAGAACCGAACGTTGGCACGCGATCACTTTCCTCCAAGCATGAATTACTCATGGAGCGGATGCTCAATCACACTGGAACACGCTAACGACATGCAAGATGACGTTCGCCGTGCGTGACTTCCAGCATTCATTCCACGCGGCGTCGTTACACGTGGAAACGGTTGTCTCTATGCATTAATAGATTTTCCAATGATACAACGCGATTGTTTGTTCGCTAGAATTTTACCACATAGTTCACGAGTATTCACGTGCATTCCGCAACGATGGCCAAAACTGAATTCTTATTAAAAAATTCCATTCAGATTTGAATAATTCGCTGAAATTAGAGGTTGAAACGAAATGTGGATCCAAATTCTAGCAATTGGCAGATGTCTCTTTTGAGACTCATTAAAGATCGCGATGGATGTACTGCGTTTTCCTAGATGTTAGGGACGCCTCCATGGTAGTTAGTCATCGGCTGGCAATTTATCATTAGTCATGAGATTCTGTCGGTTTAAGCCTTGCTCACTATACGATACTCTATCCGCGTGATTCTGTAGTCATATTGCCGATTACATATAATTACAAATAGATTAATTAATTATAAGCCACTATAGAACTCTCTATAAATAGGTACATATGTTTACCCCAGAAATACATTGTGCAATATTATAAATATAATTCTGTATGAAATATTCATTATTGCTGAACTTCGAAATAACTACCATTTTTCTATCGTCCTTCGTTTGATCATCGAGTCGAGGAATGCGTTCACCAAAGAAATGCCTCCGATAGCAGCAGCATGCGGTGACACGTCGAAACTTACGAAGAAGCGTCGAGTTTAAACAGTTTCAAAGCGCTGAACTCTGAAGTATTCATAATATACGCTTGTGGAACAATGTCGGGGAGAAGAGCGGTCGCGTCGGTCGGAATTACTTTAAAATAGATGGAAAATAAAAGATTGCAGATAGGTGGTGGAACGGAATCGGAGGTGGGCCAGCATGAAGGGAGAAGCGAAGATCGTGAAATGGGAGAAAGTAGAGGATGCGCGAAAGACACGGCATTGATTTATGTCTCCGGTGTGAAGGTGGCCTCTCAGAGCAGTGAGCTACATCTTAATATTTTCGTAGCGCGTCGAAGCCAATTGCTTTGGCAGCTGCACCGTAGCCGGCCTGTAATGAAACAACGCGCAGCACAGCAGAGCGCAGCGCGGTGAGACGCGACGCGGCGCGCGGCGGCGTGCCGCAGAAATAAATACCACGACGATGCCGGGTATCTCTCGATTACCACTGAAATCCCTCCATAGATCCTCGGACCGCCTTGTCCCGTAGATGCATAACACGGTTCGCAGTGCAGTAAAGTAGCGTGGGTGACACGTTGCATGATGGACCGAGAAGCAGGTGCAGCCTCGCTTTTACTCTTCGCGCCACCTCCGCGACCCTTACGCATTTATGCGACCACTGGCGTAGCATGTCGGCCTTTGTCGCTTTGATGCCCCGGTGCTCCTTTATGGACTAACGTATCTTTCAGTCTCGGTTCTAACTCTTTGCTGTTCAATGCGTTTCGACCGTTACTCCCTTATCCCGCCCCATCCCGTCCCGACCATATTTACTTATTGCTCCGTGACTGTTTTCAAGAACACCCACTCGCTGTTTGCCTTGGAATGATAATCATTATGGCGAAAGTGGCCAGTCGGAAAAAGGCCAAGAGGAATACGAAAAACTGGCAATTAGTATTCTGAAATAACATGGCGTATTATGCACGCGAATGTGTTTATCAACTGAATTTAACCGATTTAGTGTTTTATTTAGTTTTTGGCTCATAGCAAGAATAGTATTTTGATATGCATGTCGTGACATTTTTGTGTCGCCTTTACGAGTCTTACGAATAGCCTAACGAATAATTGCCGGAATGAGAGACAGAGAACGGAATAACGAAACCAGACTTGACAAACCTCAAAGTGTTCGAGAAAAATTCTTTCCATGAAACGAGGGATGAGATACACTCCTCGCGAAAGTACCTCTTCGAATCTACGTGTTCAATGAGACGCGGAGAACGAGATGGGATAAACTCGGGGTACCGGGTGGTCCGTTCTAAGATTTATGAACGGCCCGTTCTGGAACATTCGAAGGAAACAGTGCGAAAACTCGAAATGGATTTCGAGCTGCGACTCAGAGGAAGAATGTTGACTGAATTCTCAATTTAGACAAATACATATATATGTATGTATTATCTACGTTGTGCGCGATAACATTAGTATCACGGTTATCCTTCTCACCACGTTCGTTTGTCTAGAATCCTTATTCATTTATAGCTGTTTAGGTATTCGAATTTAACTGATTGTGAGTAAACAACAAATTCGTCGTATAATACAAAGAAGGTATAATAGGCTCTTTTTCTTCGTGCATAGAACCATCAAAACTTTTGATGTCATTTATTTTACAGTGAACATAGTCAGTACAAAAGAGATGTACATAATGATAGCTGTAAAAGGATAATTATAGTGTTCGGTAGTCGAATAATGGAGAATGAAAACTAATATATTCAGGGGAAAGACATTAAATATTGCAATAGAGAAAGACATTAAATATTAAATGTTAAACAGAAGTAGGAATCAAGTATCCGGTTGAATAGCTGTCATGATTGTCAGTGCGGAACTTCGAGTGTAAATACAGAAGTGACTCGTTCCCTCTGTGTCCACGAGTTTTTATTCCGGGAAGTCTTTTAAAGTGCACGAGCATCGAGTCTCTGGAACCCTTTCGATGGTCCATGACACTTCGAGGAAACTAAATAGATCACGCGGAAGGGTAATTACAAGCGTCTTCGTAAAAAGGAAGAAACTGTGCTGGTAAAATAAAGGAAGGAAGCAAGGAAAAAGAAGGAAGGAAGAACGGAGTATAAAAAATAAAAAGTAGTGGGAGGAAAATGAAAAGTGAGTAAGCAGCGAGGCTCTTTGATCCTCCGAATGCGTTATGCCCGCCAATGATTTAAATTCGCACTTCACCCGTACGTGCGCGCGCGCACGCGACGGCCACTAACATCATGTTTAATTTGATTTATCGACGCTATTACGCGTGATGAAAAATAGCTGAACTAGGTTACGGGTTTGGGACAAGCCGAAAGTAGAGAACCGTTCGGGAACTTCCGCATCAGACTTTATACCCGTTAATTTAATC